GTGTTCACAGTTTCCTCTTCACTGCAGATTCGTGAAGTTTGGAACTCGTACGAACTCGACCTCGTCAACTATCAGAACAAGTGCCGCCTGATTCGCGGATGGGACGATCTGTTCAACAAAGTCAAGGAGCACATCAACAGCGTGTCTGCCATGAAGCTCTCGCCCTACTACAAGGTACACACACAGAACGAGAGAAACGATGCCTCACAGCAGTTCCTCCGTCACACGTCTCTGTTCTCGGCAGGTGTTCGAGGAGGACGCTCTGAGCTGGGAGGACAAACTCAACCGCATCATGGCTCTGTTTGACGTCTGGATCGACGTGCAGCGCCGCTGGGTTTACCTGGAAGGCATTTTCACAGGAAGCGCAGACATCAAACACCTGCTTCCTGTGGAGACGCAGCGCTTCCAGAGGTCAGCGGCTGACTCCATTACATCAGTGTGCTGAAGAGCGCAGGTGTTAGGCTTTAACATGTGACTCGTTTGATTTCACAGCATCAGCACGGAGTTTCTGGCCCTGATGAAGAAGGTGACCAAGTCTCCTCTGGTCATGGACGTCCTGAACATTCAGGGGGTTCAGAGGTCGCTGGAGAGACTCGCTGACCTGCTGGGAAAGATCCAGAAAGCACTGGGAGAATATCTGGAGAGAGAGCGCTCGTCTTTCCCCAGGTCAGACATTTGGGCTTTACGATATAAGCCATCCAGTGTCCATTAAACATGAGAGCCGATGGGAATGTGTGGGAAATCCAGGAAACTTGTTTAGATCTCTCTTAGCCCTTCATATGATGTGTTAACCAACGATTTTTGAAAGATTTTTAGTTTTTGCAGTGCTATAATGAAAACGAGTTTTAACAATCTGACAAACATGTTGGTTGTGTTGTTTAGTTGGTAAAATAATTGCAGGCCTTATTTCTGTACTCGTATTGTCACGGTTGTCTAAACACTCATCATTTCTGTTTCCCGCAGGTTCTACTTTGTTGGTGATGAAGATCTGCTGGAGATCATCGGCAACAGTAAGAATGTGGCCAAACTGCAGAAACACTTCAAGAAAATGTTCGCTGGAGTTTCGAGCATCCTGCTGAACGAGGACAACACGGAGGTGCTGGGCATCTCGTCCCGAGAGGGAGAGGAGGTACGGCTCGACCCGAGAGAGACTGGGACCTCCGTTATATGCTTGTTTCAGTCAATGATGCAAACTCAGTTTCAGCTGTAAAGCAGCTCTGCAGAAGACATTAGTGTCATTATTCAGATCGAGTCAGTTCAGGTTTTGATCTCGTCTGATAGCGTCAGTGCAGTTAAATCAGTCATATGAGTGATGTCTTCATGTGGGAAACCTCTGGAATGTGCTGTTGTTTTCAGGTGCTCTATAAGACGCCGGTGTCCATCACGGAGCATCCGAAGATCAACGAGTGGCTGACGCTGGTGGAGCGTGAGATGCGGGTGACGCTGGCTAAGCTGCTGGCCGAGTCCGTCACAGAGGTGGGCGCCTTCAACAAGAGCACGGGCATCGACCTGAGCACCTACATCAACTGGATCGACCGATACCAGGTGACCTGTCCTCTGAGACTAACCCAGCATCTGTACACGTCTTCATGAGTGCTTAACCTCTGTCTCCGCCGCGTCCAGGCCCAGCTGGTGGTTCTGTCCACTCAGATCGACTGGTCTGAGAACGTGGAGAGCGCTCTGACCACCATCGGCGGCGGGGAAGACATGGGTCCGCTGCAGGCCGTGCTGGCCAACGTGAAGGCGACGCTCAACCTGCTGGCCGACACGGTTCTGATGGAGCAGCCGCCGCTGCGCAGGAAGAAGCTGGAGCACCTGGTGAGCAGGCAGAGCGCTCTAACAATGAAATGAGCAAAAACAGCAATGCCAGGCTTTCTGTGGGTCTTAAATCAGAGCAGAAAGTCTTAAAATCAAAAGTCATGGCATTACATGTTGCCTTCACTGCAAAAACATTAATGTCTTCCTCAGTATTTTTGCCTTGTTTTCCAGTACGAATATCTTAAAGGGTTAGTTCACCCAAAAATAAAAATTAGGCTGCGTTTCACTCACCCCCGATGCATCCTAGGTGTATATGACTTTCTTCTTTCAGACGAATCCAGTCGGAGTTATATTAAAAATTGTCTTTGATCTTTCAAGCTCTATCGTTGTACTCAGCGGGTGTTGCATTCCTTCAGTCCAAAAGACGTGAAATAAAAAGCACCCTTCCACAAAAAAAAAAGTGTTTCACACAGCTCCGGGGGGTGAACAAAGTCCTCCTGTAGCGAATCGATGCGTTTTTGTAAGAAAAATATCCATATTCAAAACGTAATAATCACTTGAATCTAGCTTGCGCACACTGTTGTACACAGAAGCAGTTCCGGGGGAATTACGTATGAGGTCAGCTTTGCGCATGCGCCGCTCAGAAGTGACGCACGCGGAGAGATCGAAACAAAACAACGGTCACTAATTAGAAGTACAAAACGAGGATTTGTAAAGAAGAATGTCGGAGGATTTCGATATAAGCCAAGAGGAGACTTGTTTTCCTTTTCTAAAGTAAGGAAACTTTGCTTCTTTTGATCCTGTAAACAAACGTTGGTTTTCACGAGACGCACTGGCGCATGCGCAGCGCTGACCCCATACGTCATCCACCCGGAACTGCTTCTGTTTACAACTGTTGACTGACAGACAATTTTTAATATAACTCCGACTGGATTCATCTGAAAGAAGAAAGTCATATACACCTAGGATGCATCGGGGGTGAGTAAAACACAGCCTAATTTTTATTTTTGGCTGAACTAACCCTTTAACATCCTTAAAACAAGATACATTTGCCTGAAATGCAAAATGAAGATATGAAGTCTCGTTTTCTGAGAAATTGAACAAAATTAAGTTTCTGCTTAAAACAAAGACAAATATCTGCCAATGGGGTCAGAAAAATATGTTTTTCCTTTGAGTTAATTGGTTTCTCTGAGCCCACCTTCACATTTATGTTTAGAGAACATAGCGAGGTATGGTGCTCCCGTCAGCTTATTCCTTAAATTGGTCTTAAAAAGGACTTAAAGTCTTACCTTCGTAAAACCTGTGAAATGCAACGGCCAGAGGCATCCTTCTGATGCACACACATAGACGCAGATATTTACTCCGTATGACGAGCTCTGCAGACGTGGTCGTGACTCGCGTGTTTTTCATTCATAGATCACTGAGTTGGTGCACCAGAGAGACGTGACCAGAACTCTGATCAAGAACAAGATCGACAACCCCAAGTCTTTCGAGTGGCTCAGCCAGATGCGCTTCTACTTCGACCCCAAGCAGACCGACGTCCTCCAGCAGCTCTCCATTCAGATGGCCAACGCTAAGTTCAACTACGGCTTTGAGTATCTGGGTGTGCAGGAGAAGCTGGTGCAGACGCCGCTGACCGACCGCTGCTACCTGACCATGACGCAGGCGCTGGAGGCCCGTCTGGGAGGATCGCCCTTCGGTCAGTCTCTGCTTTGCTGCTGGAGTTGAGCACACAGACGTGTGCGCATGAGCTGAATGTGAAGTGTGTGGTTGCTGACGGGCGTTCTTGTTCTGTAGGTCCTGCTGGAACGGGGAAGACCGAGTCTGTCAAAGCTCTGGGTCACCAGCTGGGCCGCTTCGTCCTGGTCTTCAACTGTGACGAGACCTTTGACTTCCAGGTGCGACTGGTGTCACGGGATCGGTGTTGGGGGTCAATAACCGGTGTTTAATCACAGGGTTTGACGGTGTCTTGTGTTGCAGGCGATGGGCCGCATCTTTGTGGGTCTGTGTCAGGTGGGAGCCTGGGGCTGCTTCGACGAGTTCAACCGTCTGGAGGAGCGCATGCTGTCTGCCGTGTCTCAGCAGGTCCAGTACATCCAGGTGGCGCTGAGAGAACACAGCAACCCCAACCGAGACCACAGTACGTGCACGCTATGGGTCAGAACCTCATCATCAGGGCTCGACGCTTACCTTATTCCCAAGGAGCACACGTGCTTGAAATTTTTTAAATGATGTGTTTTAACTTAATAAGGGGATATAAGGAGATCTTTACAAACACAATTATTTAATTTATCAGAATACAGAAAGTACACAAGGTTTTTAAATAATTCCGCTTTAGAATCTATTTAATAGGGTAATTATGTAACTATTTGAAGTCCTATTAAATTGTATGTACATTAGGTATGTGACGGTGTCAAATTTTCACAATAGTCGTTGAAGCTTTCGTCACGGTATATGGTTTTATCACAATATATAATTTAGCAAGTAAAAAAAAATTGTCCTCCTAACAGGTTAAATACATTTATTAAAGATCCTTTACTAAAGAAATACTTTATTTAAAAAAAAATACACAAAAATATAAAGTAAACAAGTGTTTCAAGATTAGAGTGCAAAA